ACCTTAATAAGTACAAACAATATAAATATTATACGGTAATGAACACGTACTGGTTTAGAGTCAGTGTGGAAATGATGAACAGCAAATATATAAGACAAAGTCAGAGGTGTTAAAGTATTCCTGTTTATTCCTCCAGTATAAATCCTGCTGTTTAGTAACACTTTTATAGAAGTTAGAGGATCAACTTCAGCTTTTTACTCCTTTTTACTGGATGAGGATTTTGAGGAGCCAAAGGCAGAGATCAGGAGGCAGAAATATAAACATGCAGAGAACCACGGAGTCAGGGAGAACTCAGGAGGAGAACCAGAGACCAGGAAGCAACAAACACAACCAACCAGCACTGAGTGACTGCAGAGGGGGTGTATATATGGGGAGACTGAACCAAGACAGGGCTGCTCAGTGGGGCGCACTGAAGGTTCTGGGTTCAATTCCCGACCCCTGGTCTTTCTGCATGGAGTCTGCATGTTCTCCCTGAGCATGCGTGGGTTCTCTCCGGGTACTCCAGCTTCCTCCCACAGTCCAGAGACGTGACTGTTGGGTTAACTGGCTTCTCTAAATCCTCCTTAGGTGAGGGTGTGAATGGTTGTTTGTCTCTGTGTTGCCCTGCGATGCAGGGGCGCCTCTAGAAATGTTTCATGGGGGGGGGGGCAGATGGGGCCTCTTAAATTCTATGGGTGGCACGAAGAAACATCCTTTCAGGGTTTTATTCTACTGCTGCGGTAAAACTGGAACCCCTACTCACATCATTTGGCTTATTGTGTGATCATTAATGTTCCTACTGATCTAATGAGCGCAGACATAGACCAGGTAACATTTAGATTTTAATAATAGTTGTGTTTTATTTATATTTGAAATAAGTTGTACATTTATTCATTTTTTGACTGCGGGTCCAGGAACAGGTGGATCACCTGCTTTCACTGAGTTCTGCTCCTTCTGTCATCCAAGCAGCTGACTGTCCCTGATCTGCTGATGCTTTTCCTCATCTCTGTTCTTTACTGATGCTGCTCTGGGTCCTCATCATGCTGGTTCATCTGTTTCTCTCCTGCATCCTCCTTCTCTCTCTCCTCCTTCTCCTCTTCCTCCTCCTCCTCCTCCTCCTCCTCCTCCTCCTCCTCCTCCTCCTCCTCCTCTTTCTCTGCTTCTGCTGTAATTCTTCTTTTAATCAGATCAGATGTCTGTGGACTTCCTCTTCATGTGTGTAAATTGTCCATCCATCCTGAATCAGCAGCTCATCCATTTCTCTGCATAACTCAGTCAGAAACACTAAAAGCTGCTTTAACGGTTTAATGTTATACTTCATATTTCCTCCTTTTCTTTCACAAACAAATGATTTGACTTATTTACTTACTGTTGGTTCTATCCTCTTTCTCAGCGTTAAAGCGAGCACAGGCTGAAGCGCCATCTGTAGCTCATGCAAGCTAATGTGGGGTAGGGGAGGGGGAGAGCAGGAGGACTAAGGACTGGGGGAGGGGCTGCTTCACTGGGGGCATAATGGGGTGAAACGCTAAACCAATGCTACTATAATCTACACTGGCCAGTGGGGGGGCAGGGCATAGCCAGGGGTGGGTGTGGCCACCCTCGGCCACCCCCTGGGGGCGCCCTTGCTGCGATGGACTGGAGACCTGTCCAGGATGGACCCCGCCTCTCACCCACTGACAGCTGCAGCCCTGCTGCTTAAGTTTGTCAGAAAGCGGATGGATGGACCAAGACAGGCTGATCAGCAGATTGGGAGCAGGTGTGGGCAAGAGCAACTAGAAGGAAGCCAAGGGGGAAGGAAAACAAGCACCAGGGGGCAGCAGAGAGTAACTAAAGAACTCAGCAGTAGAAATAAACTACACAAAACACATATATTATTATATGTGGCAGAAATGTTTGATTTATCTAAATGTTTTATCTGTTACTGTTTAAATGAGTTTGGCTGGAAGTTAAGGACAGATTCTATAAATATGATAGGATTTATATTTTTTATTGCTGTTTTACACAGTTTGCTTAACTAAGTATTTTTGTTGTTGAATATTAGACATTTTGCAGATTTATTTTTTATACAAACATTGTTTAGATTAACTTTTATTCTTTCAACTCCTTTTATAGAATAGAATAGAATAGAATAGAATAGAATAGAAAAAGTAGAATAGAATAGGGGACATTCTGGTGTCTTCAGCAGCAGAAAGATAGTTAAAAATAGTCACACAAATGAGGACCTTAGAAAAATGTCTAAAAATAACATAAAAGGGAAGAGTTAGAATATAAATAATACATTTTTATAAAGTGTTTTAACAATAAAACTGGAGAATAAATAACCAATACTCAGCTATGGACATTTTTGCAGGAATGGATGTTAGACCGGGTCCTTAGAGGATCCAGTCCAGGTAGACCGGGTCCCTGGAGGATCTAGTCCAGGTAATCCACCAATCAGGGAGATAAAGTGACCTGAGATGATGACAGCAGGTCAATCAGAGCATAGAAATAAAGCCAATAGAAGTGAACGGAGAATTAAATTCATTATTTTCTTATTTGTCTTAATCTGTAGCTCTGACTTCCTTCCTGCACCAGTTTGCATCTGAAACCGTTTCTGCACCATGTGAACCCAGAAACTGGATCCTGGGAGGCTTTGCTCCGTTTTTAAAGCACATCTTTTTTATTTTCTATAAAGCAGCTCCTTCCTGCAGCAATCCCCTGATGAAGGCGCTACCGGCTGCAGGTCCTGCTCCCTGATGCTCTTCTGAAGGACACGCCGTGGAGCGTCACTCCATCCGTGACGTAATGTGGGCGGAGCCTGTGATGAACGCCGCTTGTTCTCCTCCAGAATCGCTCCGGTCGCCTGTGATCCATCAGCTGGAGCCTGAGCGCCTCGCGCCGCAGTCAGATCCGCTCCGCCACTCTGTCCGCTCCGGCCTCAGACACCGAGGGACCCTCCGCCGGACATCCTCCGCGGTAAGAGCCGAGCGGCGGCGGGCTGCGGAGGGCCGCAGCGCCGCTGGTCGGAGCGGCCCGCCAGGCCCGGCTGGGGGGGGGGGGGGGAGCATCACTGCAGCATCTCTGCTGCTGCTTCACCCCCACAGCCTCCAGCCTGACATCCATCCATCCTCTGCGGCTCCTTTGATCCATCCTCTGCGGCTCCTTTGATGCCTTTAAAAAAGGACCTGTTTCCAGCTGCAGGTCTGGATCTGCAGCATCATTTTATTATCGGCTGCAGGTTGGATCTAAAGGAAATGCTTTAAATACATTTCATTCAGACAGATTCATTTTTATTTGCTTAAAAATCAAACATTAATATATCTAATCTTTTTCATTAATCCACATATCTGTAGATCTTGATGGTTTAATTTGACCTTCCAGGACCGAATGTCATAATTAATGACCTTTAACCAGAAATAATGAAGAGATGATGATGATGATGATGATGATGTAAAGACCAAAGGATGTAGAAAGGAAAATGGTTCCCTGCAGCTTCCACATTAATCATCATCTGGAAAGGAAGAAAGAAACAAGCATCTGTTTAATCTGCCTTTGATTGTTTCTGTCTGCTGATGCTGTGATGTCAAAGTTTGCCATCCTGGCCTCCATCTCTTCTTGGCCTCCAGTTTTCAGGCAGCTGTTGTTGATGTGAAGCTCCATCAGAACCACACATTTATTTCAGCTGATCCATCGATCATTTTCCAACCGCTCCGTTAGATAAAGGTGCTTTTATTGGACTGAACCATAAAGCGGATCTGGAAGGTTCAGATTAACATGTTTGGTGTTTTGGTGCAGCTCTGGGTTGTTCTTTCAGCAACAGACAAGTTTAGACTGAATGGATCAGTCATCAGTTCTCTCAATAATCGATGAATGCAATTAACGGTTTAATGTCCAAACATCTATTCGTGACTGGCAGAGCTGTGGCTGCAGAGCTGTGGCTGCAGAGCTGTGGCTGCAGAGCTGTGGCTGCAGAGCTGTGGCTGCAGAGTTGTGACTGGCAGAGCTATGGCTGCAGA